AAAAAATAAGGGTTATTGGGCTTAGTGGGCTTTTGACCCATTGGGTCATGTTTACTAGAGTGGCCTGCTCGGACTCCTCTAGGGCTTGGGCTAGGCTTAGCCAAGCCCATTCTCCTAGTCTCACACGAGTTGGGCTAAGCCGAGCCCACTTTTGCACAAGTTAGGCTAAGCTTAGCCCATTCTTCTTCACATGGGTTGGGCTAAGCCTAATCCTTCTCCCTTTTATCTTCAACGACCTAGCCAAAAAAAAAAACCCAAGATCAAAACAAACTCCTTTGGCCCTAACAATTCTCCCTCTCATTCTTCCTCCTCGACCCATCACCCGGAAAACTCCATTAGTCTCCTCGAAACCCTAGCCCCTTCTTCTTTTAGTTCTCCTTTTATTCATAAACAAACTAAAGCCTCCATCCCGATTTTTTTTCTTCATCTCCTAAACCCAAAACCCTAAGTCTTATCTCTTACCTAAATCTAGTCCCAATCTTAAATCAAAACCCAAAATGGAATAGATTAAACTTAAAATTAAATATTTACAAAACCTCATAACTCTTTTCTTCTTTCATCTCACAAGCTCAAACCCATAAAGGAAATTTAAGGTAATGGAAGATTTTGCACTATAACAAAGATAGAATTACTTGTCATCACTCGATTGACACTAATTGAAGTTGTAATTATATAAAGGAAACAACAAATTCTTACTTAGATGGTGGATTGAAGGAGCTCGACGTGAGGGGAACAATTAGTAGTGGATGATTCTTGCTTCGATATGCAAGAAAGTGTTCTTCTAAATGCCCAAAAACAAACAAAGCTAGCTTGCCTTTTCCCTCACAATTCCTCTTTCTACCCTATTGCCTCTAAATCCTCTCCGATATTTCCACAATTTCTCTCAATGTCTTTTTTCAATTCTCTCTTAATTGCTTTAATTGCTCTTACTTGCCTTTTTTTTTTTTTCTAAATGCTCTCAATTCCTTCAATTTCTCTCTTCAATTTTTCTTTTTTGAATGGTTTTCTCAACCTTTTTTTTTTTTTTCAAAAACCCTAATTTAAGCCCCTATTTATACCCAAAGCTCCCCTCGCTCACTCCCGAGATCAATTCCCTTAAACCCCAAACTTCTCCATAATCAACAAATACTCTTAGAATCCTGTCGATTTGAATTTATATGAATAGAGCCAAAACATGTGCTTTACGTGTGTGTATATTTGTATGTTTGGTATTTTTATATGTATAGGTTGTTGAAAGTGCAAGCTAGGCTGATTTGTCCCTCCGGTCTATTATCTTCATTGATGAAGGTGAACGGTGCCGAGAGGATGGTGGAGTACAAGATATGCATGCCATGGCAAAGTTCGGGAGGATTCGGATGATAGGTCATTCGAGTGATTCCGAATTAGTCTCGTCATTCGTGCTTTATGTTAATTTAGGTCCCTATAGGTTTCATTTTTTTATTGTAACATCTAGGCATGTTGTTGTAGTTCTTGTGCTTTTTATTTTTTTAATTGGGTCCTTGTATCTTTCAATTTCAATTCTAATATTTTGAATTGTCTCAATTATGTCCTACTTGTGTCCAATTTTATCTTTCATTCAATTGTACCATTGGACTAAAAATAAAAAATGCAGCTAAATAAAAGGATAAAATAAAATAAGTAAATAAATAAAAAGTAAAAATAAAATGGGATAAATCAAAAAGATAAGATAAGATAAATTAAAATGATGAAAAAAAAATTCTCTCTTGTTTTTTTATTATTTACAAAATGAACATGTAAAGTTCTAAAATTAAATTTATAAAATAACATAGGATATGAAAATAACGAGAAAAAAAATACTAAAGACAAATATAACCCAAATTTTGGGTTATGACAATGACACATCAATGTAAAGTGAACATCCGTCCGAATGTGGGATATAATGATTGGGTTTTGTGTGAGGTTTTACCTATGACCATCTATGATATTGTATTGAGTAGACCTTGATAGTTTGATCGGCATGTCATTCATGATGGGTTCACAAACACTTATTTGATCTTACACCGAGGCAACATGTATGTTCTCAAAACAATGACTAAGAAACAATTGAGAATACCCATACCTAGAGCGCTCTTACCTAGTCATAGTACATTGTCTAAAGAACTAGTAGTTTATGAAGATTTTAGTAGTTCTTCAAGTGTTTTGATTGATAGATATGACTATTATTGAACATGATTTGCATGATAAGATTGAGAACTATGATGTTTTAGTTGATGATCTTAAGCATGATGTGTATGATGATGATGAGTTAAATATTTTTTATGTAATTAACATTGATTTGAATGGAAAGACATCTATCGTGCATCATGAAGTGGAGAAGCATGATGAAATGCTAAACAATTGTGGAATGGGAGTTGTTGTTGTGGGAAAGCTAGTTACTTATTGAAAATTGTGAGATTATATAGAGAATGATGGAGGATATGACGTTGTCATGATTGGACGACCTAGTTTTGGAGTTGCTACCAAAATGAACAAGAGTGATATGAGGTCTCGCTACTTGTCGAGAGGGTTAGGTATGATAAGGAAGAGACATAACTTGAGAATCATATGGAGATTGTTTTCTAAGTTGTCAATGAGAAATTGTAGGTTGAAGTCTCTCATTTTCATTCCAAAGAAACTTATCATGTGGGAGACTTGGTATGGTTGAACATAAAGAGGAAGAAAGTATCCAAGAATAGGTTTGTCAAGATCGAGGAGATTGAAGGTTCATTCGGAATCGGAAAAAGAATGGGAGAACATTCATATAAAGCTAGCCTACCCGAAGCTTACTTGGTTTCAATCATATTTAAGGAAGTGGATCTTTATCCTTATCTAGGTAAAGAAGACGAAGACTAAGACATCGAGGTTGACTCTTTTCTAACTAAAGGAGTATGACATATGTGTCTCCTCCTTCAAGCATGGTCGAATACTTTAGGCCACCATAGCTAAAAGTTTTAGGTTACTATCCTTTAATTTTTATGTTTTGTTTATTTAATTCTCATATGGATTGAATTATTATTATTATTTGGATTTTATTTTTATGTATTGGATTTGACCTAAATTATTAAGTCATTAATTAACTATTTCCTAAATGTTAGGGAGCTAGCAGGTCGAGCAAGAAATGAGAATCCTTTTATTTTGTGGATTCCTATCTTCTAGGAAAAAGTTTTTAATGAGTCCTTATAATATGTGGATCTATATTTAATTGGGCTAAACAAGAATAAGTCTTAATTAAAGATGAATTACATAATTTCATTTGTTTTAGGAGAGAAGGTCCGACATAGGGAAAGAATTTACGCTTCTAGCCGAATACTACTAAGGTTTAGGAGTATTATTTACAAAATTTTGATGCATCTTTGTAAGGGCTTTTGGGTTGAAATATTCGAGTAGACCTTATAAGATTTTGGAAGCAATAAAATTCAGATTTATTCTTTCAAATATTTGAGTATTTTCTTGGCTTGGACTATGCTAGGATTACTTGGAGCATGTTTTTAGAGTGATTGTCTAAGGTAGGTTTCGAATCATTGTGTGATGGAGCTTAGGGTTACGGTTTCAAGACTTTTGACATGTTTATCCTGTAAGTGCCTTTTACTCTATCTTTATTTGAGAACTTGAACTGGTTTGAGGGTTATATAATTGGATTTGCATGATTTTATAATAACGGTCGATAAACTTTCATAAACTAGCCAACATAATTCCACTAAGTTACTCTCGAAACCTTTATACGTTGGAGGGGATAGGTTTATCCGTTAGGGCTAAAACTTTACAGCAACCTTCTACTAGACCTCTTGTGATTGTGTATAAAATTTGAAGATATTTAGAGTTGATCCGGTGGGTAAACAGAATCAATCTCCTTGTTGTAATTTTCAAACGAGTAGAGACGGATTCGGATATGCGATTTCGACTAACCTAAATAAGGCCTCACGCAACTATGTTTGATCTGAAATTTTGCATGCTTCTACTATTATATGTTAGGTAGATTGTGATAAATGATCAACTCATTTGGACTAGTTTAGCCTAAGGAATACCTAAACCCTAGTTGGGTAACTTCGAGTGACTTATTTGCTAAATCTATTTTGTGTTTGAAATTGAGTAGAAGATTTGATTGTTCGTGGATTTGCAGTATTATTGCTATGTTCATTGAGGTAGAATAGTTTATTGAGGATTCTATCTTGTGGTTGTTGATTGAGCTTTTGCAGGTTTTTCAAGTATCATATTATTCCAACATCATATATAGTGGGAATTGTAGGGTATAGTGCATACTTTTAGTGTGCCAGGCCAAGCGGCTATAAGGTCACAAAGAAAAAAACCAATGATTTTGAAAAGATCCAACCTGAAGGGTTTTTTTTAGGAAACCTGAATTTCATGTCCCATCATTTTAAACCCGAGAGGTTTCTTGGCTCGAATCTGGACTTTAAAGGTAACAATTATGAGTTTCTTCCTTTTGGTGCTGGAAGAAGAATTTTCCCTGGAATACCCCTCGCTGCTAAGCTAGTTCACTTGATTTTAGCCTCTTTGATACATTGCTTTGATTGGTCACTTCCAAATGGAGAGGAACTTGCAAAGTTGGACATGGATGGAAAGTTTGGTATTGTTTTGCAAACGAAACAACCCCTACCTCTTGTTTCCAAACAAAAAGTTGTCTTTGTTCTGCTTTTTCACTTATGTATTCCCGGAAAAAGAATCTTTTTAAGTTGACTTTGTTCTGCTTATTCACTTATTTATGATCCTTTCTTCACCAGTAAAAACCTCTTGGCTTCAATTAAATGGGTCATCATGACCCAAGTTATCATTAATGATTCACGTCTCCAACTGGATACTGTCATAAAGAGCTTGTAACCTCATCTACTAACAGCGTGCGTATCAGATAGGTTAAATCCTGATATATACTGCAACCTGTAGCAGAAAAATCTTCAACCTGCAAGCTGCTAGAGCTCATTGTCTTGCCGCTATGTGATGAAAACTTTCAAAGCTAGCTACAACACAATTGTTGTCATGGACAGGAGACTGCCTCCAAACCTTCGGAAGGGCTTTCAATGGAACATGACCCAGTTACCACGAGATTGCTTTCTGCCTTGTTAACAAAATTTAAAACCCAGGTGACAGAGGAATCACAAAAGTCCTTACGCCTATGATGGAACAAAATTGTTTATATGAAGCAATTAGGTTCACTTAGGTCTTCCCTGCTTCCAACAGAAACATAAGCTTCCCACGATAGCACTTTCATCTGCTCAATGCCTCTTATTGATCGAGTCCCATAACTCGTACCATGTCAGTACAAATCTCCTCGTGCCAAAACCACAACCAGAAAGGAACAGGCGCACAAGCGTCCAGACCTTGATTCATTGAAATGAGAACCACATAATTTCAATTTCCCGGTTACTTTGCAATAAAGAGCTTACAACCTCAGCTACTAAGAAAAGCTATAATTATAAGTAGAAGCAGCATCTGTTGCATTCAGAAATACTCTAAAAAGTGTTATGGAATTGAGCACATTCCATTTTCAAGCATCTATCAAAATGTGCAATGATTTCCATCAAATTCCAGCAACGCAATAATTTCAATCAGCATGACATTGCTGAATTACAATAAAAAGAAAAAAAGCCTCAGATTTCTAGGCATGTAGGAGTTGAAGCTTCTGGCCAAAGAATGAATGCTTGATTATGTATAGGAAATGAAATCTATACACCAAATGATAAATGGCAGCAGTTTGAAGATACTAGCCTCGAGCCACAGGTTCAGCTTTACAGACTGGGCAAGTATTTTTCTGTGCAAGCCATTGCTTTATACATTGTATGTGAAAGCCATGTCCACAATCTAGTTTTCCCAACTCATAATCTTCTTCGAATTCATCCTGCATAAAGAAACATTTGTGCCAAAAAAAACAAACATAAATTAAACATGACTACTCATACGCAAATCAATGCACAGCAGATGACAAAAGGGCATAAAAAATAAATGGGAACCAAAGAATACAAAAGAAAAAAAAAAAAAAACAGTAAAACCAAGTTTTATTTCACCTGACAAATGCTGCACTTCTTTTCCAACATCATGGGAAAATGTGTTGACAGTTCTTTCCCAATTGAGGGGTTAATTTTCTTGACACAGCTGCTGATCTCATCTTCCTTCAATCCAGTATTCACATAACCGATTCTATCACCCAACTCCAGCAGTTGCTGCTTGCACCACAAAAACAGGAAAATTCAAATGATTATACATGGAGTGATGCAATGTCATCAAAGCCAAACATCATTGCCAAGTGGACCTGTCTAAGCAAGGATTTCAGATGGGTTCTTCATGTGCGGTACAAACCTTCAGCATTCATGCATAATCAAAACAGAAAATACGAAATCATATCATGGTGTCCACACACCTCGTATGTCATGTGATCAATATCAAGCCTCCAGTTGCTAAATCGATCCAATCTTCCTCCCATGATGAAACTATTTTGGAGCATCATTATCTGCAATTTAACAAAGCACTGCTGATCAACTAAAGAGCCTCTTAAGAGAAAAATCAATCAACCTCACTAGCGAAAGAATGGTGGCTGAATAATTAAAATGCTTATCACACAGAACTCATATCATAATTTTAGCCATTCTCAATGGATAGCCCAATGTATGCAATGAAAATCCTTCAACTAATTAACAATCAATACTAAATAGCATGCCAGTGAACATAAACATTATGAGGCAAATGATTGTGTAGTTCTCGTTGATCAATAATGAAATGAAGAAAGAGGAAATAAGTACTGATTTTCACACATGCTTCAATAGAGCTGTCTCCGTATGAGACGAACAATATTTCTGGTAGGAATTTAGAAAGCATTTTATTATAAAGTAGTTAAATAAATATACAGAAAAAAAATTGAAAAATAGAGAAACAAACAATAATAAGTAGAAACAAAAATAAAATTTACAAAAAGATTAACACCCAGAAAATATTTGTGGTATACGATCATGAACATGACCAAAGCCAGTTACTGTGAAGTCAAGCTATGGTCCAAGTATTTAGTTAGATCAATGTCACATAAAATCCCTTCCGACTTTATCATTTTTCTGCTCCTCAACTCCCCATCCTCTCCCAATATCTCACTTAAAGAAAAACAAAACAAATCTAGAATGCAGGACCAACCATATACTCAGTTCTCAGAACAGTCTGCACACTGAAAATAGTGCAAAAAACACAGAAAACACTCAGTATCATCAGTTGTACGGCACAAATTAAGATCTAAGAGTTGGACACACCTCAGCAAGTCCATCTGGGGAAGGATGTCGAATATGGCGATAATACCGAGTTCCAAAAACTTCTGGTTCAGGACGAGATGTTACAAAAGCAGGATCAGTATCCAGAAATGAAAGAGTTTCAGGATTCACTGACGCCCGCCTACTTAAACAAGGCCGCTGCAAAAATCAATAATGAAACATAATAAGAGAATATAGATCAAACCAATGCACAAAGTGAATAATTAAGTATAGAACATGAATAACAGACCATAAAGATAGAGTAAGGAAATAGATTTTTTTGTTCAAAACATCCTATCAAACTCTACACAAATATGAAAGAAGAAACCTCTTTCGTGTAACCTTACAAAAGGAAAGGAAGAGAGCGTTCTTCTCAAATTAAAATATTAAAGTACTTATCAGAAGCTTCTTATTCAATACTAAAGTACTTATCAAAAGCTCCGTATAGCTAACCCCAAAATCCTAATAATATGTAGGGGGTCCACACTTTTGGCCATTCGTCCAAGTGGATGTTTTAACATCAGTAACTACGTAAATTCATACGTACACGCATAAAAACATTAAACAAACTAAAAATCAAAAGAGAATTCAAGGCCAAATTGAGTTTTACAAGACACTGAACACTGTAGAGGGAATGAAAAGAAAATCGCATATTGATTAAGACTTCCAATAGAACAGCAACATCTGGATTAACAAAAGAAAAAAAAAAAGTTAAAACCTACCGCACCAAACCACAGAGAGAGAAGTAACTGACTGACCAAATTCACCCTGCGATTAGCCTCCAAAGAAGAAAATATTTTTTTAGTATTTGTTATTCTTAAAAAACATGAATTTGAGTACAAATATAAAGATGTTCTTTTTTGGGCCTTGAGAAGCAATATATGGACGTTTAGAAAACCCTAACGAGACAAAATTAGTTAAGTCTTATTGTTGCTTCCTTCAAAAACTTTAAATATCTACAGCACTTAATGCTTATAGTAATATCAAAAGGGAAACGAAATAAAGTAACAATAAATTCGAAAGACATTATTCAAATTCAATTACTTAAAAAATGTTTGTGTTCAGAAATAGAAATATGATTTGTCGAGGGGAAAAAAGGAACTAGAAATCTGAAACGGATCAATGAACCCTGACTGTAACAGTTCCCAAATAATTACTAGGCTGACAATTGCAATTAAAACCCACTTTAATAATAATGATAATAACTAGTGCTAATAAATATGACAATAATAGATATACGAAATTCTTATTTGGAAAGTCAAATGGTTTAACCTTGAGGGTTCCAGTAGGAACAAAATGGAAACAAAAGGGAGAAAGATCAAAAGAGAAAAACAAACAAACAAAACAAATTCAAGAATCAGAATCCCCACAGAGATTTAAGCAACAATCAAAATATTTTTTTTAAAAAAAAAACCCCAATTTAGCTTCAAAAGAAAAAACAACCAGATCAAGCATTAATAATAAATATACTAAATTCACTACCCCTATAAAGATGATAAACAGGAAGAACAAGAAAAAATTTCAAGTCTCTATTTTTCTGTACAATACCATAAGAGAAATTCAGCATGAACACTCAATAATTCATATATGCATAAAAATGGAGAAGAGAAAAAATTGAGATTCCAATCCAAATACTAAACAAACAAATTGAGAATAGAACAACAATACCTCTCTCTCCCTCTCTCTCTCTCCCTCTCCCTCTCCCTCTCCCTTTCCCTCTGATTAATTTTCTCTCCGCCATCAATCTTCCCTCTTCCAGATGACACATTCCTTCTAGCCACAACACAATCAACTGACCCAACAACAGCATCAGCACCTGAGAACCCAATTCCAGGACCACACCAAACATCTTGCATAACCATACAATTCCCAAAATTACCATCTCCATTAACATCACCATTACCATTACTATTAGTAGTATTATTACTGTTGTTGTCAGTGCAAAGTTTCATGCTTTCTTTCTTCCTTTTCTGATGACCCTTTTTCTTCTTGACCCTTTTCCCTTCCCAGTCAGCCGATGACCTTATCACCGCCGGCACCGACACCTGCTGTGCTGCTCCAGCAGTGCATCCTAGGCCTCTAAAGGTTGCACCTTTCTTCTTGGTTTGGTCAGGTGGGGTTGTAGAGAAGTGAGACTGGAAGAGAGAGGAGATAATTGTATTGGATTTGGAAGACTTAGAGATATGTGGGTTTGGATCTGTTTCTGTTGAAATGGATTGTAGCTCTTCTTGGCTTCTGGGTTTTCTTAGCTTAATTTGGTCTGCTATAGTTGTGCTGCTGCAGCTGCTGCTGCTCTCTGCAAAAATTGGCATGATCTTTGTGCTTTGTTGATTAGAGAGAGAAAGAGGGAGAGGGAAAATGAAAGCAAATAATGGAAATGGAATGTTAAGAGTGATTAAATTTGGTACAGAAAGAGAGAGGGAAGAGGGAGAGAGTGGGGAATTTTGATTTGAGTGTTAATTAATAATTATTAATGTTATAGTACTAATTTCTTTATGGTTTTGAGAAAGGTAAAATTGAAGGGGTTATTAGGTGGGCAATGGATTGTCTTCTTGTTGGGATTGTAGGAATGTGCATATCAAACAGGAGACTGAGACCCTGGAATCCATTAAACTGCCTTTTGTTTTCTCTCATTTGCTTTTTATTATTATTATTATTATTATTGTGTAAAGTTAAAAACTTTATTAAAGTATGGATTAGTGTTCCAACTTTTATTTCACTTCCAAATCAATACCATGAGAAGAAATTCTTGCAATTCTCCTATACAATTTACACTCATACTTTAATTTAGTCCTTCCTTCACATTACGTTCAAATGAATACGTTATGACATAGATTAGATGAATACATATTAGATAAGCTTATACGAGTCTTTAATTAGCAGGAAAAAAGAAAAGTAAAGATTAAATACTATTTAAATACTTAACATTTGTTCATCGTCTACATATCTCAACATATGATTTATGACCATTTACGGTATTGGTATTCTATTGACATACCTGCCATTTTGGAGTATTACTATTCCATATGGATATAATTGTAAGCTTCTTAAGAGTTAAAGGACTGATTTGCAAGGAACCGTAAAAATTAACTGCCAGGAGACGCTAGTTGATGTTTGAGGGTTTAGGGTGAGGGGCAACAAAACAAGGGGTCCACAGAAAAAAAAGTCAGATTTGTGGGTTAGGGTGGATGACAATTGAGGGGGTCCCACATGGAAAATAAAAAAGGGTAAAAAAATTCAAAAAAATTGTAATCGGGCAAATAGTAGTAATCATGTGAGATGTCCTAAATTTGACTCCAGTGGGATGTCTTCTATAGAAAGCATCCCTTGGTGGGCTCCACTACTCTACACAAATTAATGCCTTCTGTGCTTTGCTTTACTTTACAGATTTACACACCCTTCCTTAAGTCAAGTATATATCTTTCTTTCTACTATCTTCACCTCCAAGAACTTTTAATATCTATTATTTAATCAGAGTTTTGTTTCTAACCTTATTTTTTCCATTTTAATTTTTTTAACTATAAGTTAATTTACGTGAAAATAACTTGTTGCTAGTGTTTCTCTAAATTTTAAAAAATTCATTTTGGATTTAGAGTTTTTTGTGAATATTAATAAATATAACTTAACTGATATTAATGTTCTCTTCTCTCTAAAATATTTCAAATTCAAGCTTCTTTTTATAACTACGAAAATATTATTAGTGAATAATTAAAACCATGGGTTTGAAAAAAAAAAAAAAAAAGCAGTGACGCGTTACAATAATCTGATATCCAATTGCAATTTGGAAAGTAAACATAAAGGCTCATTGACCAAACGCATGATCTAATTCAGTAGGAAAGAAAATGTTGGATCAAATAGCACTCTCAAAAAACAGGCTGGGGATTAAATAATTGTTTGTGAATGCCCTTTTACAAGTTTCCGTCACAAAACTAGTTAAATTAAAAAAAAAAAAAAATCAATTTTTCATTTGTATATTAGTCTAAGTTTTCCATCTATTTCTAAATTCTTAATTGCATGTATTATGTTTTTAAACATTGTTCAAGTTTTTAATCTATTTTTTCGAATAGTTTTTCTAATTATGAGTAAATTTTAATTTTTAATTGTTTTTCATTTTAATTTGAGATATTTCGGTCAAAAAATTGTTCTTAATCAAAAAAATTAATCGAACGACAAATCAAAGACTTAAATATTATTTAAAAACATAATAGATACAATTATTAAGATAGAGAAAATATTCCGACTACTATATAAAGACAGACTTAAAATATTTGTCCAAAACTTGAATTATTAGATTATACCATAATATAGTTTTATTATATACACTAACACCTTCTAAACTTTTTTACTAGTGTGTATCATTACTTTATGTTGAAATTTTAAAATTTAATTAAAAAATTAAAATCGTAAGATTTGAACTTATAATTATTTGTTCGTTATTATTGTAATATTTTGTTCAAAAAAAAAAAACAGTTCAATTCAAAAGCTCAATCTATGAGTGAACCTTGCGAATAAATTAACTAAATGGTGTACATTGATCTAGAAATATATATACATATATAGGAAAATTAAATGAATTTTGTATAGCATGATTTATGTTATAACTATTAAATATGTAAAATAAAAAAAATATGTTAGAAAAAGTTTATAATTTACATTTTGATTTACTAAAAAAAACTTGTCCAATAAACTAAGAGCACCTTTAGACAAAAAAATTCATATAACAATTATTATTATTATTATTATTATTATGAAAAAATTATTTATTTTTAATTATAGCAACTAAATAACATGCATGAAGTAAAAAAAAAAAAAAAAAAGCAACTTACTCTCGCAGGGTATATTGCAATATTATTGATATCACAGGCTAATTACTTTTTTCAACTGTGGTTGTCACAATAACAGGTAATTTTCTTCCATTAAATCATAATCAAATAAATCGAAATCATTAAAACTTAAACTTGTTTTACTAAATATTCTATACAAAAGCATCAATTTGACAATTTCTATCAGCTGCAGAATTATTTATATAGATTCCAGTTCTTAAAATAAATAATTAATAATACTGTATACTTAATGATGTTTCATCTATAATTATTTGCATACGAATTAGGATGGTGAGAGGTCATGAGGATGGCTAAACTTTATTTTGATTTGCCATTTCGGTATCCTTTCCGGCCTCGTCAAGGTCGCTTAGGCAAGGTACATCTTTTTTATATATTAATTAATTAATTTATTTTAGTTTAATACACACCATTTAAGTTGTTCAGTGTAGATTGACTTTATTACAAATTAGATGGGGTTATTGGAGAGCTGGTGGGATTAGGAGTGTGAATGTTACTTGCTACATTGGTTAATTAGTCAAAGTTGGGTAAATGAGGCAACGTTTCAAGTATGGTAATGGAGTTCAAATTCGTCACTCCTCAATTTTTCAAAAAGGTTGCAACTTGCTGCATCTGTCACTCCTCAATAAAAAAATTTAAGAAAGTAGGTATAGGAAAAAAAAAAGTTTTGGATTAATTCTTTAACGAATTTTACTTTTGTGTAATAGGAGATGAATGGCAACAGTCATAATACTCACCATTGTTGAGGACATTTTTGGGAAAAAAAACAACACGAGTTTACTGCACGAACAGCAAATGCTGTTTCTCGATGGTTGTCATGATGTGAAGGGACAGTCCAACCTTCCAATTATCGCAAGATATTATTAAAAAAAACTATAGTAAAATATGATCTTATTATTTATTTTTATTATTTAAAATATTATTTATATACTCATAAATTATTATTATTTTTTTATTATTTATGTCTTTTTTTTAGCATTTTGATCTTCAATTTTTCTATATATATTTTTTTCATTTTTAAACTTTAATTATATTATGATTTAATCCCATTTTGTTTTAGTATTTTTTTTTAATTATTTTTATTATTTAAAATATATTACTTTAATTTATCATTTTTTTAATATAGTCATATGCTATTAATATTATGATCATATTATAATAATATTATTTTTCCATACTAAGCATTTACTATTTATTTATTTATTTATTTATTAAAATAATATTTTGGCTTAACCACTCAATGATTCAAATTAATATAGTTTTTTATTTTAATATTATTCATTCTTTTGTAAATAAATATATAAAAATTAAATTTATATTTTTTTCAAAAATCAATATTCTCATCAACATTAAATAAAAAAAATATTTGTTAAATTCTATGTAAGCTTTTAATAATTTTTATTTATGTTTTTCAACACAATCTTATGAAATACTAAAGCTTTTTTTTTAATTTTCTTTTTAGTTAATAATCCATGGATTAACAAGAATAAATCTTTTTTTCTAAAAGAAAAATTATGAAAAACACAAATAAAAAATAGTTAAATACAAAATTTTTGATTAAAAAATTATAAATAACTTTTTTCACCTTTGATTTCATATATTTTTATAGATTCACATTATAAAACGGACTATCAAACTGAAATGATTTTTTTAAAAGATTTTATATATTTTATCTAACATGCGAGTGTAACGCGGACAAAAAAAAAAAAAAGTTGATTAACTAGATAGGAACTTGATTCTATCCCCTAAAATAGAAGCTAATGTGTGCCAACCCATGTTTGCCTCAACTAGTTGATCAAAAGTTCATATAACTAGCTTTTTTTTCAGAAATTGCATAGGTATATTGCTTTTTATATACTAGTATTAAGTAAAAGACAAAAAAAAAAAAAAAGGTTTTTTTTAATATTTGAATTCTATATTATTCGAATTTTTTTAATTGATTTTTTTGACATTTTTTATTTTTAAAATTTTTTTATTTAAAACTTTCTGTTACAATGTCACCAATCAATAATTGATACGTTACATTATAAATGAAGAAATCCAAAAATTAGATATGACATATCGATTATTGATTTGTAGTATTATAATAAAAGTCTAAAATAAAAAATGTGGGCTAAATAATACCAATAGAGCATGATTGCCCTATGTTTTTTTTTAATGTTTTTAAACCTATTTGTAACTTTTTTTTTCATTTATTTTGATTTTTTATTTTAAAAAAGTTAAAGAAAAAAATATAAAAAGATTGTTGACGAAAAAATATTTTTATAAAATAAAAATAATATTAAATTAATTATGATCAATACTGATAAAAAATTAAATAGTATTTTTTTAACTAAGAGGAATTAATTAAGAGAAATTAATTTATAATTTACTCATATTCAATGGGGCTATCCGCTGAAAATTGCTAATTTCGTTTCTTCGAAAATTTTATACTGGTTTACAACTCATTACTATAATTAATCAAATATTTG